AGGCTATCAACGATGACAACCTTGCACTATCCCATTTTTGGCCGGTAGAACCTTCGGACAGTATGCGAGCCAAAGAAAATAGCCAGGAGCGAACAAACCGGTCAGCGTGGAGACTTCTGTGTACAGATCAGTTCTGCTGTCTGTGAACATATGCAGGGCACGAGGAGGCTACCGTTAAGAAGCAAAAAATGATAGTGAAGAACGCACTGTCGAAAAAAAATGCCTCTCTTATTACCTCTTCTCGGCGAATGGCAAATTCAAGCTCCTCCAGTTTGTGCTCCAGGTACTCGGGACTGGGCAAGGCGTCGTCCCCATTCAATTCAGTGCCCTATCAAGAGAGAGAGAAGAGTGGGAGATTAAGTGTGACCATTATAAACGCTAAAGTGATGCAAATTCGCAGCGGCGGGGGGGGGAGAGCAGAAAAAAAGCAATATCAGCGAAATTCGGTTAAAGATTATAGAAAGCAGAACGACAGCGGAAGAACCAGGCGAATTTAGCAAAACTTGCCTCAAACTGGGGGTGTTAGGCGGGCAAATAGGCGCAAATAGGCAATTGGGCTGACTCACGCATAACCAGTTGTAACCAACCTTCAGGAAGTATTTCCGGTCCTTCACCTATAGACGCACACGCGTGCAGACAGATGCATATTTATATATATGTCGGCAAACGCGGTACGCAGGCAGGGTGTCAGAGAGTTAAGAACAGTAGAAGGCACCACAGTATGCAAGAGTTGGGCACGGAGATGGAAACCGCCCAAGGGATAGGAGCAGGGTTAAGATCATGGCCAAAGTTTGGGAGGGCGGTGAATGCCAGGACACGCGAATATTCAGCCTCCCTGAACTTTAGCGCAGGGTCTATTCCAGTGTCCTGACGGAGGAAGGGTCATATAAGTTATTCTGTTTATGGATTCCATACGGCGGAAGTGAGATCCTTGCAGTTGGACATAGATATAATTAAGAAGAAGACTCGATCGCTGAGACAATACGTTTATTCGCCTGACGTTTCGATATCCGTCG